TTTCGATATTTGGATACTTGTAGAAATCTTTATCAAGTTCATATCACATCATAGTGAGATCCAAGTTCCTTCTAAGGATACTTCCTCCAAACCCTGAAGATTGAGGCGTACCTTCCAAGGTTCAAATGTTGGGGCAATCCGCTGTAGGGGTTGATCAGGAAAAACCACTTCAAAAAATGGTTCATCGGGGGCATGGTGTTTCAAAATTTAAAATAGTGGGGCCAGCTATATCAAGTGCACGGTACGATCAAACTTCTTTGAAACTCGTATCAAAGAGAACCTATGCAAAAACCCAACAAATTTGGGCAAGGCGTACCACAAAAGGGGAAAGTTCTCTTCATGATTTCACACTCCTCAGTGAATCTCTTTCCTACGTCAACAATCTTCGAGTTCAAAAAGAGTATCGTGAAATAATGATAGAATAACACCCTATCATCATGTGACAAACACCCTTGTTACATAAAAAACCTCTCAATCTTAACCATCCACGACCCTTCATAGGGGCACCATTTGTTGGTACATCCAAGTCACTACATAAATCATTTCAAAGCCCATTCTGATAGCCAGTTCTTGTCTAGCACATTATCATTTTCACCAGTTCCCATTTGGTAGTCAGTTCTCATCTGACATATTAATTTCACCAGTTCCCGTCTGGTACTCAGTTCTCGTCTAATGCCTTATCATTTAAAGTCATTCTCGTCTGGTAGTCAGTTCCTATCTGACAGTTATTTCAGAACCAGTTCTTGTCTGATAGTTTTCTAATTTGCGTTTGGAAGCAAATTTTTAACCCCAGTTCCCTTTTAGTAGCCTAACTTCAAGTCAGCAATTTAAATTCATATAACACGTGCATTGCATTTATTAATCATCACATAACTTCATCTATCAATTCATTTGTATGCAACCTTAAGAAGCATGAGAAGCCTCATACACCACATGCATTTCATAAATATGAGAGCATCCTCACGCATTTGCATCAACATTTCATCATAGGCAACCCTACGAGCATGAGCAACCTCATGCATGTCCATCATCATTTCATTCGTAGGCAGCCCTACGAGCATGAGCAGCCTCATGCAGTTCCAAAAGCATCGACAAAACATCAAAAGCACTTTGGTTAGAAAAATATTAAAAGAAATCCATGCCTATACCTACGCCTAAGCCTACAATACAATTATCAAAAGCATTCATAAAAATTTGGTGCATTTACATACAAAACATATGTCAATGACTTTGGGCATCATGCATATGCATATCAATTATGCATTGCATTTCAACCTTCATAGGCTAAGACTACTACGAAATATCTTAAGGCCTGTCAGCAACTAAGTTACCTGTGCGAATCGAACATTCAAATCTAAGCATATTACAAAATGCCTAAGTTAAGAGCAGGCATAATAATTAGAGGTGCTACAAATTACACTAGGTAATATACCTACGATGCTTATTTATAGCCTAGTCATCATCATTCTACGGTGCGTGTTATTCAAGCTTTCAACTGTCAAAATCAAATTCTCTTCGACTTTCAAAATCAAATTCTTTTCAATTGTCAAAATCAATTTTTTCTTTTCAATTGTCAAAAATCAAATTCTTTTCAAAATCAAAATTTTCCTTTTCAATGGTCAATTGACATTCAAGTTTTTTTTTTAGATTCAAAACTTGTCAAAGGGTTAAATTCAACTCTTTCAAGATTCAAACTTTTCAACTATCAAATTCAAATTCAAAATTTTCAAGTTGTCAAGTTCAATTTTTCAGATTCAAGTTCAAACTCTTCAATGGTTTTCAAATGGTCAGATTCAAACTTTCAAATTCAAACTTTTCAATTATCAGATTCAAAACTTTTTCAAAGTATCAATTTTTTTTAAATACAAATCTTTCAGATTCAAAACTTTTTCAATGGTCAATTTCAAATGAAATTTACAAACTCGCATCATCTACCCCTAGGTTGGGGTAGATGCGCGAAAATTTGCGATATAATTCATTGTGTTATTCTCAAAGCAACAATGAATTATCACGCTTGTGTTATTTAAACCTAGGTTATGGCAAATATAAAACCTACAATATAGCTTACTATATTAGTCTCAAAGCGTTAGTAAGTTATTTTTCAAAACTTGTGTAATTTATCCCCTAGGTTGCGGTAAATATAAAACCTGCGATATAACTCGTTGCATTAGTCTCAAAGCAGCAATAAGTTATCTATTTTTCAAAACGCGTCGTTTATCCTCTGGGTTGTGATAAATATCGCGAAACTTCAATATAAATTAATATGTTAGTCTCAAAGAGTTAGTTAGATATTTTCAAGCCCGTATCATTTACTCCCTAGGTTGTAGTAGATATACGAAAATCTGTGATATAACTCGTTGCGTCAGTCTCAAAGCAGCAATAAGTTATCTATTTTTCTGCGATATAATTTATTGTGTTAGTTTCGAAGCGACAATGAATTATCAAACTTGTGTTATTTACCCCCTAGGTTGTGGTAAATATAAGAATATGCGGTATAACTTACTATGTTGGTATCGAAGCTTTAATAAGTTATTTTTTCAAAACTCGTACTATCTACCCCCTTGGTTGTGGTAGATGTACAAAGTCTGCGATATAATTCATTATGTTAGTCTCGAAGCGACAATGAATTATCAAACTTGTGTTATTTACCCCCTAGGTTTTGGTAAATATAAAAATTTGCGATATAACTTACTATTTTAGTCTCGAAGCTTTAATAATTTATTTTTTCAAAACTCGTACTATCTACCCCCTAGGTTGTGGTAGATGTACAAAGTCTGTGATATAATTCCTTGTGTTAGTCTCGAAGCGACAATGAATTATCAAACTTGTGTTATTTACTCCCTAGGTTGTGGTAAATATGCAATAAACTGCGATATAACTCGTTGCATCAGTCTCGAAGCTGCAATAAGTTATTTATTTTCAAAAACTCTGCATCATTCATCCCCTAGGTTGTGATAAATATGTAAAATATGCGATACAACTTACTATGTTAGTCTCGAAGCGTTAGTAAAATATTTTTAACTTGTATTATCTACCCCCTATGTTGTGGTAGATGTGCAAAATCTGTGATGTAACTTGTTGTGTTAGTCTCGAAGTAGCAATAAGTTATCTATTTTCAAACTCACGTTATTTACCCTCTAGGTTGTGGTAACTACACGAAATTTGCGATTACTTTTTCTAGATGATGATGAGTTATCCGTGAAATCATATCTAGGTCATTTATGTTCACGCTCTAGGAAATAGTGAGTTAACTGCGTCATCCTTGCCCTTTTTACTTTTTGGTTTATTGAACAGTTTATCTTTCAAAAACTTTTGATCAAAATTTGAGGTCTTCTATTGTTTAGTAACCCTCCGACCCGAACATGCGAAAACTTCGTATACTCGCACGCTTCAATCGAAGAATAATTAAATAGGGGCAGCTGTCATACCCTAAATTTGTCCGCCCTATTTCTAACATTTAAATGATTTTCAAACTTGGTGGCTATAATTTTTTTTTATTTACACTAATATTTTAGGGTTTTCTAGTTGTTTAACTTTAAATATAATTTATTTTAAATTATTTATATTTTTAAATAGAAAATATTTTTCTACTTTTCATATATTTTCAATTGACTTTTTATTTTGAATAAATTAGATAGCACAATTGGTAAAGAGGTGAGACTTGCAAGTATAAGGCCATGTGTTTGAATCTCACCTCCCTAACTTTTTGGGTTCTATTTTATTTTTAGTCTTCTTTACATTTTTTTGCATTATTCTAAAAAAAATCATAAAAATGTATTTTTTATTTATTTAAATAGTATTTTCATTTTCTTATATTTAGTATATTTTTAAAAAAAAAAAATTTTATTAAAATCTTTTTTATGCAAAAAATCTAAAAATAAATAAAATCTTTTTCAGTTTAAATTTTTTTAAATCTATCTTGCATCTGGTTACAAATAAGTCCAGATTCTTAGACTTATTGACCAAGATAGAATCATAATTTTGGGGTTTTTCTTGGTGTGTGTTATTTCCTTTTTGTTTTTAACATAATTTCTAATTTTATAAATATGTCTCTCTTCACCCTAAATTGATCATCAACAATTATCCACAATTTTCCATCTCTCTTTCATAAACACTATTTTTTACGCAACTGTTCTTTTTTTGAGTTTATTTTAGGGTTTTCTCTTGAACAGACACTTGACCTTATTGTTGTCTTGAACAGACAATCATCAACAAATTGCACAGTTTTTCACCACACACATGAATTATACGATTTAACAATTTCATTCTCTTTTTCAAAACCTTATTTTTACTACGCTATTTTCAAACTATTTTGGCCGATGATTTTTATATAAGGGATCCTTATTTTATAATTTTATTTTTCTGCTGTGTGAACCAAATAATGAATTTTTGAAGATTTCGTCTTTTAAATTTACATTTTTATACCAAACTTATTCTACCAATGATTGTGATTCTAATGGTTTTTTTTATTATTATTAAATCTTTGTGACAATTCTAACAAATTTACGCACTCTATATTCACAAAGAGACCAATTTGTTCACGATATATACAATGTAGACATTTCAATTTTCCACAAAAATTACACATTAACAGTCCACAATTTGTAACCTACATACATATACATATCCATAGACCAATTTACACACTTTTTGTTTTTTACAAAATCCTTCGTTTTAAGATTTCTCTTCGGTTGACACATTTTACCACAGAAATTTCCATTAGAATCCTAGGCAGAAATTTTAACTATGATGTAACCCTTCAAACCTTGTTTTCGTTCATATTTATACCTCTTGCAAACCTTGTTTTCGTTCATATTTATACCTCTTGCAAACCTTGTCTATTTCTCTTATACAGTGGTTTCTGGTGATCAAAATATTCAACGGGTTATTTGTTACACTCTAGAAGTCTCTATGGTTTAATTGCACTTTTTATTATCACTCCTATTCAAATCTCTTTCTCATCTTAATATTTCACATAACAAACCTTCATCAAGAAAATCATGTCTAAATTGTCAGCAGAAGAAAAAGAACAATATGAATTCAACAATATTGAATTTTTTTTCCTGCAAATGAACATCAACATAAGCAACAAAGAGTTCAACATAAAAATCGAAAAACAAAATCAAGAAACAAATCCAACGAATTTCATCATAACTTTCATCGATGCAATAACTTGTATGAATTTTTTGTTTTACAGGTAAAAGAAAAATTGGAAACAAAGAGAATCAATTTGAAGGAATATTAGAAGAAGAATAGAGAGCCAACACCACCAGCCGTTCTCCCCTGTTCTGTCCGCGCAAATCAGCCGTTCATCTCACGTTGCAGTATGGTACTAGCACATTTTTGTTCATTTGTTTTAATTGTTTTAGAATTAGGGTTTCATTGAATGTATTTTGGACTTTAAATTTTTGGGTCTCTCTTTTGTTTATTTGCATCTCCAAATCAATATACATTTTTAGAATTAAGTTAATTCATTTTGATTAATCAAGTTAGTATTAGTTATTTTAATTAATTTAGATTATTAGGTCAAAGTTAATTAGGACAGATCTAATTGGTTATGTACGGGTTACGTACGCTTTAATTTCTTTTGATTTAAAATTAAATTAATTTTAATATTTTTTATGAATAATATAATGGATGTACTTCCTTGGATAATTGGTTGGTTGACTTAACGCTTATTAATTAATTATCTAAATGAAATACTTTAAAATTAACTAATCAACAAATCAAATAAATTTTCCGCCTAGCACGAACTAATTTCAATGAAGATAGACTCTTCTTCAATCCAAACCAAACTAATATAGCTAACCAATTCAAATCTTTTTTACTATCGTAACAAAATTAAGATATTTTCATAAAAAGGATTAAATAGTATCACTTTCAAAATTAACTGTGATTTGCGTCTGTTGTACCCCAAATTTTGACCTAAGACACCGTCTTCCATCTGCATCATTCGCATTGCAGAGGTTTTGACCTATTTTATCAAATTTTCAAAGCAGTTTAAAAATTCATAACTTTTTCGAGTCGGAAGCTGTTTATTTGTTGAACGCTAAATTTATTAACTAATCAAGACTTAAACAATGTTCATTAATTATTTATTATCTTAAATTCAAATAATTGGAATTTATTTTCGATTATTACGTAATTTAAAGACTTATAAATAATAAAAAGAATATTTGAGAAAAGGTTTATTAATGGGTCAAATAATGTTTATTAATTATTCATTATCCTAAATTTAAATAATGGGAACCTGTTTTCCGTTATTATATAATTTGAAGGTTTATGAATAACGAAATAAACATTTGGAAATGAGTATTAATTGATCAAGCAATGTTTATTTGATTATTTATTGTTCTAAAGTTAATAGCTGGAATTCTATTTTTTCAAGTTATTATAATTTAGAAGAATTAAAAATAATAATAAAATAAATAATTGAAGTTATTAATTGATCAATGATATTTATTTATTTGTTTATCATTCTGAATTTAAATGATTGGATTTGATTTTTCAGTCATTATATAATTTAAAGAATTATAAACAATAAATAAATAATTGGAAAGAAAAAGAATTAATTGAGAAATAATAGAATTTTTATTCACTTTATTCTATTTATTACAATTGTCATTTAAATGTTGTGTTATTACAAAATATTTATAAAGACAATTACATAAATGCTTAAAGTAAATAAAAAGCTATTTTTCTAAATTCTAATTCTAAATCTTCAATCCAATGCTCTTGTTCGCTCATTTAATTTTACCTGCAAAAACGATTAAAAGAAAAGTCAGAATTTAATAAATAATTAAAATGCAGAAAATAAATTCAATGTTCATCATTAAAAGCAATGGCCGGAATCAGTTACTCTTTTTTGCAAATCACGGGATTTCTCCCGGTTCACAAAAAAGAGAGGAATTTTTAAATGAATGCACAATTAAAAATAGCACATTTCAAAATCAATTGCATTTTTATCAAAAAAAACCCACTGCATATTTCAAATATGCATAAATTTCAAAACTGCATAAACCATACAAACAGCATGTTTAGTTCACAAATAATAAGCCAACGTTAACCTGCAAAAAAAAAACAATATGAAATTTCCAGCATGTGCAGTTTTAAAACTATGAAAGCAAGCAATGTATATTTCCTCTTTCATCATATTCCAGCCCATTACAATTTCAGAAAAGATGTACAGTATATCATTTATATATATCAATTTCTGTACTTGGGAGAGAGAGAGAAGAGGTTCAATTTTGCAGGTTTTGGCCTAAGCATGAATTGGGAATAAAGTCAACCTTGTAGCAGCATATGTAAAAAGCATCAGAAAATATATTAATATACTAAAAACCTGAGCAAAAAAAGCAACGGCTATGAGAAGGGAATCCCTTCAAAAAGGAAGTGTGAGCTTGCATAGTGAGGGGACCAAAAACATCACTGCAAAACTATCCAAAATGCCATAGTCCACTTTGCAAAACCATAAAAAACCTGCATGCTACAAGACTACCAAGGGAGGTAGGAACATAGTCCATTTTGCAAGCTAAACCTGCATACTGCTATACACCATATCGTTGCAAACCATTCCCAAAACCATCACTACAAAAACTACCAAAAAAAAACATAGCTACTGCCATCATCAAAAAAACCTTAGCATATTTCAACATAGCTACTGCATATTCTAAAACCTGCATAGTCCATTGCAAACCAGATTCCATTTCCACACAAGACATTACTGCTAAACCATTTTTGCATAACATATTGCAAATCACACAAACATAACCTGTATCAAAACTATTCAAAACCGTAACACAAGGCAAAATCACATACCGCATTAGAACCATTTTTCAAGCATACGGTATCAAACCATAGCCAAAGCAGTATAATCATAAACCACCAAAAAATCAATTATTCATATTCCAACCAGTTTTAGGCGAAGAAGAAGAGAAGAATTAGTGGCAGAAAGTAAGGAGCGAGGAGTTTTCGGAGCTTACCTGACTTCGCCGGAATCGTACTGTCGGACTAGCTCCGACCATGTGAGTTTTTCTTCAGTTTTTTTTCGCATAAAGCTTTATACCGCTGCGTTGCCTTTGTCTCACTTAATAATACTCTCTTTAATTTCCTGAAATCATGTAAAACGGCTATTTAATATCTTTGCGAATCATCAATACATTAAATCCCTATTTTTAACACAGACAATAATTTGATTGATAAATTTCAAGATTCATAATGTTGCGAAACCGGCACAATCATACATACTATTAATTTAAAGCCAATTTGAGGTAATATAGGAAATTCACAAACCTTTTTACACAAACCATGATATTTTTTTTAAGTTCAAATCACAAGTAAAAAAATACAAACCACACAAAGCAGCCATTAATAACGTTAGTATTTACAACACATCATAGATCATCACTCCATTAGAAAATGTCAAAAAGAAGAATAACTGCATAGGCTGGTGGTAAACCTGAACTGGCCTGGACACCAACTATTGTCAAGATTCTAAAGCCAATAGGATATTCAGCTTCTCTATCCTCCTACGTGCAGGATGTTTCCATTACCTTTATGGCTATGAGGTCTGATGGAACAGAAGTGATGGTGGATAACAAATATCTCAAGACAAACAATCCTCTTTTGCTGATCAATTTCTATGAGCAGCATCTCCGATACAATCCAAGTTCTTAGCTGGATGGATAGTATTGAAGGTGGTGGTTTTGTGTGTGATTAGACCTTCCGTTGTTTGCTCTTAGTTATATATATCTATAATAGAATTGTAGATGCAGGGGATCCTAAAGGATTAGGAAGTACGGTGTTGGTTAGCATATGTCTATGTAACCAAATCTTGAGACTTGTTCTAAACTATAGCGATGCGATTCTACATCAGGTTTTATCCCCCTTTACGCATGATAACAGACCATGTTCAAACAATGGCAATACCAGAAATATACATACAATTCCAGAATACACCGAGAAATGAAAAGTAGAAGAAGAAGAGAGAGGAAAGAAATCGAATGCTTACCGTTGAGACTTCACCGTAACCCTTTCTGCCTCCACGACAACTCATCTACCTCCTCAACACCAGGCCTGATATATCATATTCAGTCCAACAATTAAGCCAGCACATGAGCAAACCCACCGAAACACACTATCATACTGCCCTCCGTGTTCTTCGATATCTCAAATCTTCTCCCGGACGAGGTCTCTACTTCCCCAACAATTCTATTCTTCAACTAAAGGATTTGTCTGATTCGGACTGAGCTACCTGTCCCGACACCAAAAAATCCATCACCGAATTTTCCATCTATCTCGTTGACTCCCTTGTATCGTGGAAATTGAAAGCAGCCTACAATATCTAAAGTTCAACAGAAGCAGAATATTGTTCAGTGTTTCAAGTTTGGGAAATCATCACAGTACGCATAATTCATAAAAACTCACAAGAGGTCAACGAAATCACCATCATCTCTGTCATCGAACCGTCGCTCAACCCACCCTTTGATCTTCATCATCCCAATTCTGCTAACTTCCCATTTCCTCGCTATCGTAGCAACCGCGCCATCCACCCCTATCGTCCTTCCGTCCTTCATCTCCTTCTCAATTTCGATTCCCTGGTCTCAAAGGAAAGAAAGCTCAGAATAAATAGCTGACAAGCTGGAAGGGTGCATGTGATTGATAGAAGAAATGAGGATCGTTGGACTGACCGTTGGAATGGCAGGTGGCAAGAGCACTGTTTCCAAGTTATTCAAGTCTCATGACATCCCTGTTGTCGATGCTGATGTAGTTGCCCGTGAGGTTTTGAAGAAAGGCAGCGGTGGGTGGAAGCCATCAGCGGCGGCCATGGCTCAACCTTCTTAGGTTTTTCGTACAAGCTTTGTGTCTCCTCCCAACCGCTCCATTTCCCCTCACCCAGCCCATTCTATTTGTTTTACTTAAGCCCATTTATATTTGCTAATTCATACCCCATCCTTATTTACTCTTAGTTTAATTTTGTTCTTTTTCTTAACTCATTTAATTTGGATTAATTAGTTTTCTTAGAACTAACTTGTAATTTTAAATAGATAATTTTAATATTTTATCCAAATCTCATTTAATCTAAGTTTAGGTTATTTTAATAACTTTAGTCTTCCTTATTTTAATTAAATATTTGATTTATAAGTTTTGTTTAATTTGATAAATACTTAATATCTCTAAAAAACATATAAAATGAGAAAAC